TATAAAATATATATTCTAGTAAATATTATAAACTGAAACTCTATTATGGAATATATTTTGAAGCATATAGACAAAGCTAGATGTATTTCACAATTTACCTTGTTTCTAATTGTTTTATACTAGTTTGTAACTGCTGTAAGCGCCTATCTGATGCCTCCTCTCTTCCTTGGGCAGACACCATATCCTCCTCCTAGAAAATAAAAAAACTAGAAGCTTACTTTGAGTATGTGAAAATTCAATACACCATTACACAGCATAAAAAAGAAAAACAGTTCATGCTATAAACTTATTATGCTGCTACAATTCTAATATGTAAGTTTAAAGAAGCAACATGACTTTGGAAACAAATCACATGTATAATAAAAAGAGGGAAAGAACTTCACCATCAATCCTATATTGGACAAACAATAATCAAGACTGTTATTGCACATAGATGTCTACCAATATTTCTAACTATTTCTATAGTGTAAGTCTAAAAAAACAAGAAACAGATTTCTATGCAGATAGTCTGCCTTTAGAATATGCTTCTTAACTATGTTATATTACTTCTCTATCTATCAAGGTAATCACAGGACCTTTGTCCTTTGATATAGTATGATGTCTTGAAATATATTAATAGATTTTATTTCTATCATCTTTCTAAAAAAACTTCTTGTTCATCTTTTCCTGCCTTCTTTTATATAACAAATATTCTATACAATGCCATTTTTTAAAAAAATTTTATTTTTTTAGAGATGGGTTCATACTATGTCGCCCAGGTTGGACTTGAGCTCCTGAGCGCAAGTGATCTTCCTGTCTCAGCCTCCTGAGTAGCTGGGACTACAGGCATGCACCACTGCACCTGGTCTAAGGATGTCATTTTAATTCCTCTCTTACTTTTAGCTATATTTCTTTGAATTATTTTTCAGTGATTGCTGTAGAAATTACAATATACATCTTTAATTTATCTCAATTTATTTAGTTAATATTTAATTCAGAGAAAACACTGGAACCTTTCAACAGCGTATTTCCATGTACTATCCCACTACTTAGGGCCATTGTTGTCATATATTACATCTGCATACTTTACAAATCTATCAAATACAGTGTTATAAGTTCTGCTGTAAGCAATCATGTCTTTTAAAGATATTAAAAGAAAAATATGTACA